AGTCCCGCATCGGGCTCCCTGCTCGGCAGGGAGTCTGCTTCTCCCTCTGACCCTCCCCCCTCTCATGTGCTCTCTCTCTCTCTCATTCTCGCTCTCTCAAATAAATAAATCTTTAAAAAAAAAAATTCCTTCCCATGTGGAATTTAGGTTCTGTGGAGGTGGGGGAGGGGGCAATTAGCAAATGAATAAACCCAACTGTTAGGATGCCAAGAGGAGATGACAAGAAGGGAAAAGATTGTGGTGTGTGTACATTGAGGGGAAGGGGGTGGCAATTTTATAGGAAGCTCAGGGAGGCTTCTCTATAAAATTGGGACATTGGTGACATTTGAGCAAAGACTTGAAGGACGTGAGGGGGGCAAGCAGTGTGGGTATTTGGAGGAAGAGGGTTTTCTGGGTACAGGGGAACAACGTGTGCAAAGGTCCTGGGGCAGGTCCTACATGGCAGTTGGAGCTACAGCAAGGAGGCCCATGTGGCTGAAGCCGAGTGAGTAAGGGGAAGAGAGAGAGGAAGGGAGGACAGAGAGGGGACAGGGCAGGTCGTGCTGGGCCTTGGGGACCACAGGAGGACTTAGGCTTTTACGCCAGGGAGGTGGGAACACCTGGAGTGCTCTGGGCAGAGGAGGACAGGACCTGAGTTGGGTGCTCGCGGGCGCCCTCTGGCTGCAGGAGGCGGAATGAACTACATAGGTTTTATCCGTCACCCCAAACTTCAGATGAGAAAACTGAGGCCCAGGAAGGTGAAGTGACCTTTCTGGAGTCACGCAGTAATCAGAGATTTATCTGGAGCCAGAATCCACATGGTATCCCTTGTATGTCTTCCCTGTTTCCAGGACTCTTTCTGTGTTTGTGGCTCTACACATCTCTTTGCCTTTAGGTCTCTTCAGGTATGCCTTTTCTGGAGTCTCTTTCTCTGTCTCTCTCTATCTCTTTGTCTCTCCCCGAGTCTCTGCTCTGGGCATATCTGGGGCCCTGGCTGGCTGGTACCTGGATGACGACGATAACACTCCGACCCACGGGCAGCAGGCTGTGGTCCAAGGTGAAGATCCGATAGAGGACTGGGAGGTGGTGGGAGAGAAAGAGGACGGTGGGTGAGGCCCTGCCCCTCCCCGCAGCCCGGCCCCTGGCCCTCTCCAGCCGCTGCCCAGCCCCTTACCTGTGGATCCTGGGGTGTAGATGGTCTTGTCTGTCTGGATGAAGAGGTACCCGCTCTGAGGGCTGATCAGCACCACCTTCTCCACCATGGTGGCCCCAAAGTCCGCCTGGATAGTCACGAATCTGTTTCCCCTCTCTGATACTAACTCCTTGTCGGCCGGGATCTAGGGGTGGACCAGAGGATCATTAGGGGTCTCCTTCTGGGCCCCTTGCCCACATCCGGCCCCCAGGCCTTCAGTGGGGCCCACACCTGCCCCTCCTACCAATAGCACCTGCCCAGCACTCCTGGTCACCCTGGTGTGCCCAGGTTGGGAGAGGATGGCTAGTCGGAGAGGGACCAAGGGCTAGAGAGGCGGTAGGGGTCAGAGAGGGGGATAAGAAGGGGGAATCAGACAGGGGGCTCAGAGGACCTCACAGTGGAGAGGGGCTCAGGATAGGAGGGGCTAGTTGAAGGAGGAGTCTCAGAGAGGGGCGGGCTCTGACGTGGGAGGGGCTCAGAGAGGGCTGGGGCATCAGCAGGTGCACCCACCCTGATGGTGACGGTGCTCATGTAGTCATTGGCGCTGGTCAGATCTGTTTTCTCGTTGGACAGCACTTGCTTCTTGGCCGGGAAGTCGTGGACGGTGACCATGACTTCAACATCCTGGTTCAGGTCGTGGGCCTCCAGCACCACGGTCTCCTGGTTCCCCAGCCGCAGGATGTTGGGGGTGATCATGGAGAACCTGCAGGAGCAGGTGGGGGCAGGGGATGCTGTTCTAGGGACCCGGCATCCCAACCCTCACCCACACGTCGGGAAAATCCCAAATCCCCATGCGGTCAGATCTCGAGGCCTTCACTACCGCGGCAGAATCACTGAACAGCACACCCCATGCACCCTAGACCCGCAGACCCCTGGTTGGAGAAACACACGCCCATCACAACCCTGAATTCCACAAACACCCAACTCATGAACTCTTGAACTCACAGGCAGCCCGAATTCATTAACAGCCCAACCCACTGGCCCCTACCTCCACAGGCACCCAAATGCACCCTGAATTCTCCTGAGACCTGACCCCACAAACACCCACTCCAACCTCAGAAGCAACCGTGTTGGGGAAGGGGTCGTGACCACTCACAGGGGCTCCCCCAGCAGCAGGGGGAGGTTGGCCAGCAGCAGCAGCAGGCTGGGGCCTGAGGCAGGCCCCATGGTGCAGGGGCAGTGGAGGGACCGAGGGACTGAGGGATGGAGGGAGAGGATTGGGAGGGAATGAGCGGAGGCTGTTGGAGGCTGCCTTTTATCCAGCTCCTGCCTCCCGCCCCACCCCCGTCCACCTCAGCCCAGCCCACGGCTCCGGTGGCCTTCCCCTCCCTGGAGCTGCCCCAGATTTCTCAATACTATTTCCTAAGTTCTTCAGTCCCTGGGGCCAGCGTGTCCTGAGGTAACTAACCCAAGGGCATGTCCTCCTGCAACATGAACATACCTTCCCTTTGCCATGGCCTCCCTCAGGGTCAAGGCCACCTGGTGAACCTTTCCCTGTTGCACCTACTCTGTGCTGGAGGAACACTGAGGGCCAGAGAGCCCCCCACCCCAGGTATCTGGGCCTGACCCCCAGTCCACTTTGGGCCATGCATTTATTAACCAAACCCTTCCTACGAGTCCGTCTCTATTCTGGTAGCAAGAGTCCTTCATCCATGCTGGGGTCAGGCTGGGGGACAGAGTCCAGCACCGAGGCTCCGGGCCCCATGGATTGTCTTCTCAGTGGAGAAGAACCCTGCTGCTTGGAGGGTCAGGGAGGATTTCTGAGAGGGGGATATTTCAGCTGGGCTTTGAAGTATGTGTAGAAGTTCGCTATGCAGGTGAGCATGTTTTTTAGGGCAAGGGGAGCCTGTACTTCCCTTCACCTACCCTTGTCAGGTGACCAACATGGTCTGAATGACTATGATGATTAAAAAAAAAAAAAAGTCGTGGGGCGCCTGGGTGGCTCAGTTGGTTAAGCGACTGCCTTCGGCTCAGGTCATGATCCTGGAGTCCCGGAATCGAGTCCCGCATCGGGCTCCCTGCTCAGCAGGGGTCTGCTTCTCCCTCTGACCCTCTTCCCTGCTTCTCCCTCTGACCCTCTTCCCTCTCGTGCTCTCTGTCTCTCATTCTCTCTCTCTCAAATAAATAAATAAAATCTTAAAAAAAAAAAGTCGTCATCGAGCAAATTCCCCATTGCTAGCTTTTTTTCTGTCTTACATCAACATTCTCTTAAGATATTATTATTATTACTATTATTATGAATTGCATTTAGTTTTTTTGGTATGAATACCTAATATATTCATATGGTTCAACAGCTAAAAGGTGCAAGGAGGTGTACAGGGAAAAGGTAACTTTCCTTCTATTCCTGTTGGCAAACTTTCAGGTTTCGGATGTCACAGTGCAACCAAATTTCAGGTTTCCTTCCAGAGATATCTCATGCATTTATACATGTTCACGAGTTTTAAAAACAAGTGATCAGTGTTCTCTACATGCTGTTCTTCCTGGTTTCCCTGCCTGGGTTACACCTTGCTTTTTCCTAAACAATATCCCTTAGAGATTGTTTAATACCAGTGCCAAAGAGCCTCCTTGCTCTTAGAGGCAACTGCCTCACCTTGCATTGTACAAAAGTAACTGGCCTCTTCCCCGTGGACAGACTTCCATGGTTACAAGCCATGTTGTCTCCAGTGAGTAATCTTGAGCCTGCATCACTTTCCAGTTCCGACACTTATTAGTGGTAAACTTTGGGCACCTGACTAATAACCACTCTGAGCCTCAGTTGCCCCATGTAAATGAGGTTATAAATAGCACTCACTTCACAGGGTTGTTATTGCCATGAAAGGATGTAACCCTGTATCAAAGGTGACTCATATGGATCCTATGGATCAGGCTAGAGCGTAAGGGCTAGCGTGAATAATCTCGCTAGATTTTGCTGTCTTTCCCTCCATAACTGTTTTGATTTACATACTTGCTGACCCTGCAGGAAATTGCTGATTTCCCCACTGCCTCGCGACGACAGCCTGTTGGCAAAGCTTTGCATTCTTGCCTCAGTATCATTTTGACATGCATCTGTTGGATTCCCAGCAAGGCTGTGCATCTGGGGGAAGGGGTGTGTGAAGTCCAGGGCACAGGAGGCAACTGATGGGGGGATCCTGATCTCTGAAGGACTGGTTTCCAAAGTCCCAAGGAAGGGGTTAATGGGGAACTCAGTGAGGATTTCCTGTAAACCACGCTCCTTTCCTGGCCATGCTGGCATGCCTGGAGTCAGGGGAGGCGGGCAGAAACAGAGCAAACTTGGCCCCTGTCTGCTTTGATTGCGACACCCCTTCTTTGGAAGAAAGGGGGAGAGTGCAAATGCCTGCTTACTGTCCAGAATTGAGAGTAGACTTCTGAAACAGGGGAGGGGGGGAGAGGGGAACCTGCTAGGATCTCCCAACCCCCCATTACTCCCTCTCTTCCCCTCCCCACCCCCCAAACCCACCCTATTTCCTGGATTCATCATAGCCTTAAACATTCGGGCTCTGTGGCTTGACCATCTTGGGCAGGTGTTGCTGCTGGCCTCCGCCTCCCTGTGAGCCTTGGTGTCTTCTTTCTCAGAGTCTCAGTTAATCCTGCTCAACGATGGGATCAACGGTAGTTCCTGCTGTTTTTTTTTTTTTTTTAAAGATTTTATTTATTTATTTGACAGAGAGAGACACAGCGAGAGAGGGAACACAAGCAGGGGGAGTGGGAGAGGGAGAAGCAGGCTTCCCACTGAGCAGGGAGCCCGATGCGGGGCTCGATCCCAGGACCCTGGGATCCTGACCTGAGCTGAAGGCAGACACTTAACGACTGAGCCACCCAGGCGCCCCAGTTCCTGCTGTTTTGTCAATGAAAGGTGCTGAGATGCTTCGGAACCCTGGGCTTACAAACTTTATGCTCATGGTAGTGGAAGTCTGGGAACGATCCTGTCCCTGATCTCTAGGAAGTGACCAGAGGGACGAAGGCAAATGCAGAGCAGGGCCTGCTAGGAAGGAAAGAATTCTTTGAGGCTTCTTCCTGGGGGTGTGCATTGGTGCCCAGAAGTGTGGGAGAGGGATGGCAGGCAAGATAAGCCAGCAGGGGAGAGAGAGGAGGAGACTGGGGAGAGTGGGATGGGACTTCCAGTTAGCTGGTGCACCCTGCCCAGCATTCCAGATATGGAGGGAGGGAGAACCAGGTTGCCTGAGCTGAGTGGGGTATCTGGGACATATTTAACCCTAACAAAGTATTTGCTGTCTAGCTGCAATTCAAATTGAACTGGGTGTCCTGTATTTTGTCTTGCCACCCTAGCTGGAAGGGCAAGGAGAGAAGAAGGGGAAGGAAGTGGGGATGATTTCTGGGTGGGGGGAGGTGCCCCCCTCCACCGCACGCCTGCTTGAGTGCAGTTACTTCCCCACTGCACCCTCACACACACACACACACCCTTCAGAGGCAGTGCCAGGCCTGGGAGCATCAGGGACCACTCTCCCTCCTGGCCCCCCACTTCCAGAATGGGGTCCTTGCTACACTGCTTTCTGAGAATTTCCCTCCCCCCACCATGCAACCTGAGCTTCCCCTTCTCACTACTTATTACTCATTAACTCAAAGATAAACTTGGCCTGGTTGAGTCTCATCTGCCCCTTGGCTCCTTCCCCCCAACCCCCACCCTGCACCCTCCCACTCACACCCGGAAGAGGCCGGGGCACCAGGGCCCCCACCTTGAAGGATGCAGGGGCAGAGGTTTTGACCTCCTAGGCTCAGTTCCTAATCTGTAAGCTGGACAGTCCCACAGCCACGGAACTTCCCTCTGAGTCTGGGGGTGACAAGCTGGTGGCATCAGCAAGCAGAATGCTCGGCCTGGTGCCCCACACATAGTGAATGGACTGTGTTTTTATCTTTCCCAACACCTGCTCCTCCACCTTCGTGCCTTATTTCCGTGACAGCCCCACCAGGCCTCCAGGCCAGGGTCCCCCCCCTTCCTCCCTGTCCCCTGCATTCTCTGTCCCAGTCTGCCCATTCTCTCCACCCTTGTGGTCCGTGGCCTCCCCACTGTAGGCTCACTGCTTCCAGCCCACCTACTCTACAGCAACTGGGGACTTTTTCTAAAAACACAACTTTGCGATCCTACAGAATTATGATGTGGAAAACAGGAATACACACGAACGAGGCGAAGGGCTCCGTGAGACTCTGACGCAGCACCTTATCTCACCAACCTTGTTTATTCCACGTCCCTATTTTACAGACCAAGAAACTGAGGGCTTTGGCCACTTGCCCAAGATCCTCTAGCTGGCAAGAGCTGGGCTCCAGAGTTCACGCTCCTAAACTGTAGGAGTTTCTGAAGGCTGCTGTAACAGACGACCACAAACTGGATGGCTTAAAATAACACCTGTTTATTGTCTACACATCTGGAGGGCAGATGTCTGCAATCAAGGTGTGGGCGGGGCTGCATTCCTTCATTTCCGTCGGGAGGCTCCAGGGCAGGAAACCTCTTCTAGCCTCTTCCGCTTCTGGTGGCCACTCCACTCCGTGGCTTGCGGCCCCTCCCTCCAGCCCCACAGCTCACCCCGCCCCGGCCAGTTTCCTTGTCACTCTCCTTCTCCGATGGACCTCTTGCGAGGATCCTTGTGCTGACACTGGGCAATCCAGGATCTCCTGCTATCTCAGGGTCTTTCACTAAATCACAGCTGCAAAGTGCCTTTTGTCGCATACTGCAACATTCGCAGGCTCCAGGGACTGGACATCTTTGGGGAGCCATGGCCCTGCCCAGCCCTGCATGCGCAGGGAGTAAGACATCGACCCTGTACGGCCATGTCCTTCCCTGCTTTAAACTTTTCCTTGGCTCCTGCAGGCACTGACATTGAGTCCAACCGTGTCTGCATCTTTAGGCTTCTACCCCTTCCCAGCTCCAGCCAGCCCTGCAGTGGGACTCGCCGGCTATTCTGGGCTCCTCTGGCTTCGCCTAACTTCCTCAGTCTGCAGTGCCTCCCCACTTCCTTGTCTGGCTGGGCTATTTATGCACTGGGCCCGTTATACTTGCTTCCGTTTGCAAGAAGCCTGACCCCAGCCCAATTCTCTACCTGTTGTCCCCGGCCTGGGCCCCCAACCGCCCCCTTCTCAAGAAGTGTCTCCCAGAGCTCCAAAAGGGGCTCTAGGCCCTCTAGCTGAAGGGTGCCGTGGGACAGGGGGAGAGCCCTATCTCTGGAGCTGCCCGCCCCTGTCTGTGCACAGGTGCATCCCTAATCTGAGGTCATTCCTCAAAGTTCAGGGCAATTCACGAAAGGTGAGTGCACAGCATTATCCGGGGCGACCCCGTGGGACACCCATTTTACAGGTTGGGAAACAGGTGAAACCACTTATTCAGGCTCACATGACAAAGGGGGCGAGCTCAAAAGGTTTGGTCGCAGGGAGTCTGGGCACAGGGGGGCAGTGCCATTGGTGGGAAAGTGCAGCTCTGAAACCAGACCCCTGTTGTTTTGGGTCCTGAGTCTCCCAGCTTGTCAGCTGTGTGACCCTGGGCAAGTGACTTAGCCTCTCTGTGTCTCACAGGCTTTCTGATAGGAATTAGGATCAACAGAAGCCTTGGAAGAGGGTGCGGCATAGAGCGATCACTATGTGTTAGCGACGATTACTTCTAGTCTTCTGTGTGAGCTCTTGTGGGGCTGCTGCCCTTTCCCCTACTTCTCCATTCACCTTTCCCTGACTTCCCAGGCTGGGTCAAGACCCTGTGATGGAACTGTCTGGTGACTCAGCCCTCTCCCTGACTGGCCTCCACCAACCGTAAGCCCCTTAAGTGGGTCCGGGCCACTGCTCTGTCCTCGGTATCCGGCATGGGGCCCGGCACAGAGCAGATGCTCAACTGATATTTACTATGTAGAGCAATGGATACTGCAACCCTCCCTCCACAAGGAATACAGGTCTCTAAATTGTAAACACAACCTCAGTGTTAGACCTCAACACGCAGAAAGGCAAGAAACCAGGGTAGCAAAACAGATCATATTGCACAGCTGCAAGAGGTGGGTGGCTCTGGGGCAGGGACAGGGCTGCCCAATGCTTGGGGAGAAGGGGGCCCTCTTCTGAATGGGCTCCTGGACCTCAGGTCCCAGAGAGCTGGGTGCTGCATGCACCCCAGCGCCCTCCTCCCCCTGCCACACGTGCTTTGGGAGAGGAGCTGGAGAGTGAGGAGTGTGTGTGGAGGGCGGAGGCGGGAGGTGGGGGAAGGAGGACGGTTCCAGACACAGGGGATGATCACAAAAGCTCCCGCCCGCTGGCTGTTTTGTTGAGTTTGGACAGGCCTTCCTGGAACCCAGAATCGGTCACTCTAGAGGCAAACAGCAAAGAGGTGGTCCAGGAGTTGAGGGGCACGAGGCCCCGCCTGCCCGGTGCCCATCAAATCCACCCCTAGAACCGCTTGCCCACCTGCTCCCCCCATGCCCCACCCACTCCATCCCCAGAACCCTGGCCCTGCCCACTCTGCCTCCAGAGTCACCACACTCCCCACTCCCCCACCCACCCCTGTGGGCTGGGGTGGCAGCGGGGGGGCTCACATTTCCTCCATCTGCGTGTCCTCCTTGTCCTCCTGGGGCAGCTGCAGGTAAGGGTTGTTGCCTGCCGGCTGGAACTTGTAGCCAGTGAGCACAAAGAAGGCCAGGGTGGAGCCCTCCACCAAGAGCTGGGGGGCAAGGCGAGTGGGAGTGTCAGGGATAGCCCCCGCCCCCCCC